GCTTGGGACTTTGTTGCTACCATTACTCTTGCCTTGGGTCCTGGGACTGCAGATCGCTGTGTTTCCGTGCTTCTACCTTCTGGAATCCTGTAAGTGCTGACTGCTATCTTCCTGCTGACTTCGGATTGTTTTTGGGACGACGACTTCGCGCTTTGGACTGCTACAGTTTCTTCTGGACGTGCCTTGACCTTGGACTGTTTCTAGACTACGTTTTTGCTTGCTCCTACCTTGTTTATTGATGTTTATTGGACTCTGTGTTTTTGAAGCAGTTTGCTGATACTTTTTGTTATCCCAGATTATATCCCAGTATAATCTGGATTATATTCCAAGTTGTGTTTTTTGCTTGGCTTTTTGCTACAGACTTTCAGTTTTGCTAGTAACACTGAGTTAAGTGTTTCTAAGCCATTTTTGTTACTTTAATAAACTTTGTTGGACCGTTACCCTTGTGTTTGGCTCTGTTAAGGCTTCTGGTTCACAACAAACAATATAACTGCATCCAAATTCAATTGAGAGGCCCAGTCCAAAACCTATGCATTATCAATTCAAATATAACATTGCAACTAATGTTAAGCCTGTTGCCCAAATACCATGTTTTGAGCTTTTTCCTGAAGGAAAGGAGCGATGGAACTGATCTGATTTTCCTGGGGAGTGTGTTCCACAGATGGGGGGGCCACCACAAAGAAGGCCCCGTCTCTCATCCCCGTCAGTCATGTTTGCAAAGCGGGTGGGACTGAGAGCAGGGCCTCCCTGGGTGATCTTAGACTGCAAGGTGGATCATAGAGGGAGATACATTCGTACAAGCAAGCTGGCCCAGAACCGTAAAGAGCTTTATAGGCCAAGACCAGCACTTTGAATTGTGCTCGGAACTGGACTGGCAGCCAGTGGAGCTGACATAACAAGGGGTGGTATGTTCCCTATATGTTGCTCCAGTGAGTAACCTGGGGACACCCAGGGGACGCCTGGATGTTTGATTTTTACCATCCTTGTGGGAGGCTTCTCTCATTTCCCTGTATGGGGAGCTGGAGCTGACAGAGGGAGCTCAATCTGCTCTCCCTGGATTTGAACCACTGACCTTTTGGTCAGCGGTCCTGCTGGCACAAGGGTTTAATGCACTGCGCCACTGGGGGCTCAATCTCTAAGATGTTAAAGTTGTACTACAATATTTTATTTTATATGGTTTTTAAACAGAGACGGGAGTGCTTTAATTGTGTGGCTCTTCCATGGCAGGGGGTTGGACTGGATTGCCTTTGGGGTTCTTCTAATTTCATGATTCTACTTAATGTAACCATGAATTCCTTTAGTGACAATATCAATATTTATGTAGAAAATCTGTGCATGACCTGCTATTTGGCAAGGAAGGGAGACCAATAAAAGCCTACAAGTTTGTTCTTCTCTGACGTTTCGATCAAAGAGGGGAAAATATCCTAGACCAATTAAAGTATTCCATTCCTCCCACCCCAGAGCCAAGTGGTATGTGTGAAGCCCCAGCGGCTAAAAGGCACTTTCACTGAAGGGAGATTTAAAGCACCGCTCTCAAGCTACCCTTTCCCTCCCTTTGAGAGCACTTCGCCCTACATCTGTGGTGCATGCTACAAAGACACCACACACAACTGGGAGTTCTACTTTTGCATCTTGCCAGGCATCGTCTTTCCAATCCAGCTCCAATAAACACATCTCTATAGCCTAATTAATTGAGACCCATTTGGAAGATTTTGCTCAACAATATGTTTTTCCACCACCATGCTTTGAGGATGGAAAAGTCAGGGAACATAGGGATTTATTGACTCAAGAACACACATTTTCAAGCCAACCAATCCAGCATAAATTAAGAGCGCTCTCTTTAGGCAGCAAGTGGTTATGCTAAATGTTTGGAGATTAATTTGCTGCAAAGAGAGAGATTTAATGTGAATACGGTTCTGGGGGCATGCCTAAGGACACACTTGAGCACGTTACTCATAACCCAGCTATTCAAGATACTAATTAATATGCACTAAACAAAGGTAGTAAGATGAATAAGGGCAACAAAGTTACACTGTATGAAAATAGCAACAGCAGCTTCCTGATTGGTTCAATCAGAAACTGGGGTGAGTCTCCTTTCCAAATGGGACACTATGTTTATTGGCTCTCCTTTTTAATAGAAGATGTAATCCAAACTACCTCCTAGCTTAACAACTGACCAAAAGCATATACAGTAGAGTCTCACTTATCCAACATAAATGGGCCAGCAAACGTTGGATAAGCAAAAATGTTGGCTAATAAGTCGGGATTAGGGAAAAGCCTATTAAATGTCAAATTATGTTATGATTTTACAAATTAAGCACCAAAACATCATGTTTTACAACAAATCGACAGAAAAAGCAGTGCAATACACAGTAACATTATGTAGTAATTACTGTATTTACGAATTTAGCACCAAAACATCACAATGTATTGAATAAGCTGTGGATCCGGGTGGGAGGCAAACTGCGTTGGATAATACAGAACATTGGATGAGTGAAGGTTGGATAAGCAAGACTCTACTGTACTATTATTTCTACTAGGAAGGATAAACAAAATAAACCAAAAAAGTCTGAACTCACAATGCACTTCTGCATTACTTACAATGTATGAACAGCTGAACACAGAAGTCATCTGTACATCATACTGAAAAATACTTCTTTAAACCCACAGCCCAATTTTTGCATCAGAAAAACACTTTAGCAATTATGCAAGTTTGCACAGTTGTTGCTTATTTGGTTTTCTCTTCATATGGAGGGAATAAGGATCTGTGAAGACAGAAACCTCATTCCTGATTGCTTCGAATCTTATTCCATCAGTTTCTTTGGCCTCTGAAATTCTACGGCCACTTTCAAACACTGTTTCTTTAACTATAAAGTTTACTAAATTAAATTTTATGTCCAATCATTAATTCTTAGTATTGTTCTCTTCTTAGATTTTCAAAAGCTGTGCATCAACTGACTTTCCTAAATACAGTGCACTTATTTGGCCATTTCTTTTTGCCTCTCAAACACAAAGTAATGGTACAAAAACTTTGTTTTCTTCCTTCTAATCCTCTCAACCCCAAACTCAAAGACTGGTGTTCTTTTTCAAAGTCAAATGTACCACCAGCAAGTCAGTCTGCTATTTCTAAAGCCTAAGTGTATCCAGTGGTTCTTTAATCTTCAGCCGTGGGCGTCCTTGTAAAATATGGCATGATAAAAATAAGTGATTATTCACAAGCTTCCCAGAACGATCTCTGTTGATTTCACAATCTTCATATGCACTTAATTACCAACTGGGCTTCTTTAATACAAAATTCTGCCTTGCTAACCGCAAAGCCTCAATTCACTGTTCATTTTATCCTGAGCAACTACGTTCTGTTTGAGAAGCTGGACGTAAAAGGTTGTGTACAATTAAAATCAAAAGATCTGCATTTTTCTCAAGGAAGAATCATGTTTTAGTCCACCCAAGGGATAGTGTGTGCTGTTCTACAACATTATTTCCAAATACATTTCTGCAATTATTTTTTTCTAGGAAAATCAAGATCATGTAACCATTACACTAAAACTTAAAACAGATATTCAGACATTAAAATGGGTCTGTCATGCAATATCTAATTTCCTTCATAACAAATATTAACTAGTGGTAGTGATGAGCGACTTCTTTGAAAATATAGGAATACAAAGCTAGAAGGAAAGATACAACAATAGTATGGAAGCCCAGCTGAGGTCCTGCTCCGGTCATCTTGTGTGTTTCTACCCAGATGACATCCCACAGACTTTTCTGCTTTTACTGAAGTCCATGCTAGCTTACTGGTTGGTAACACTACTATGCTCATGAAAAAGAGGCAAAAAGAGCAGATTGCCAACGAACCATCTGAACAAACCAGATGTCAGATGCTACCTAAATCCAACAGCTAGTCCCAAAGAGAATAGATCAATTGGTAAAATGACTAATTCAGTAATCAGCACTTATATAAAATCAAATAACTCTACATGGGACTGACAACCAGATTTAGACCTTTCTATTTCCAGATCTCACTTTTCTGACTGCCTTATTTACTGTACTAATCAGGTTGTGTGTGCTTTACACAAGAGTATAAACAAACTTAATATCAAGCAGTACTATGAATCCTGGGCTGAAATGCAGAATGGGTGCCAAGTGATAAAAATGTTTTTTTTCTCCTTCTTTTCTTTTCTTTTCTTTTCTTTTCTTTTCTTTTCTTTTCTTTTCTTTTGTGTTGTGTTGTGTTGTGTTGTGTTGTGTTGTGTTGTGTGTGTGTAAGGAGCGACTTGAGAAACTGCACATCACTTCAGGTGTGAGAGAATTGGTCGTCTGCAAGGATGTTGCCCAGGGGACAGCCAGATGCTTTACCATCCTGTGGGAGGCTTCCCTCATGTCCCCGCATGAGAAGCTGGAGCTGACAGACAGGAGCTCACCCCACTCTCTGGATTCGAACAGCAAAACATAGATAAATAATGTAGAATCAAAGACTGATGCTGTAGAACTTTGGATAGCTATTACAGGTGGACACATTCTTAAATTATTAAAATAAAAAGGACACTTCTAGAAATTGATCAGATTGTACAGCAGCATCAAATGTAGCTTGAAACTAAATTCCCAAATGAAGAGGTTTAAAACAAAAATTGCAACATGATCTACAGTATCACAGCAAGCACTACTTTATATTACAGATGCAGGAACATTCATTGCTTCCATTCCAGGGCCACCCAGGGTGTCAAAACAATTTCAGAGCAGTGGAGATTCAATCTCCCTTTTTTCTAAATGGCGGTCATAAGATACAAAAAATTAAAAATGATGAAATGTTGAGTCTGGGGAGATGGGTTCTCAAATCAGGAAAAAAGTAAACCGAGCCTGGGCCCAAGCAATGAGAAATTACTTGGAAGCGAAATAATACATGCTGAGATGTGCCGGCATGCAAAACCAAATACCCCAAACACCATACCCGGTTTATTACGCAGAACATTCATCAATTTTTTAAAACCAAAAAAACAACTTACTGCTCCGAATCATAGTAATCCATACACTTCTTTTTCTTGTTATAAGCCGCCACTCTGAAGGGTACAATTTCCAGTGTTATCAGGCCTGGCGCCATAGTCAGTACTTTGGCACCATGGGTTGGATCATAGAGATCTTTTCCACTCTCAGGGTGAGGCATGCCGGCAGGATCCCGGCCCACAATGTAAAAGTTTGCTCCTGCAACCATCCTTGACCTGCAATGCCACTGAACCTAGAAGGAAACATGAGAAATGGAGTCAGCAGATGGAATGAAAGGAGACGAGGGAAGTCAGAAGCCTCTTGCTACTTAAAAAAAAAAAGCAGAGGGGGAATTCTCTCTGAACTACTTGTATATATTCTTGTATAAGATGACCTCTTGTATATGCAGAGAGTAAATTTTGAGGCCAAAATTGCAATTTTGATGTGATCCATAGATAAGTCGAATGCCATTCTGCAGAGAGGACAAAGCACCAATACCACAATTTTTTCCACCGAGGCATTTAAAAAGGCCACAGTGGACAAAGGAGAAGGGTCAGTGCTTCTTTTAGGTTCTCTTGAGATGAACTAAGCTCTTGCCTTTCGCCACTCTACTCAGAAAAGAAGTTAAACGTTACAATACATGACTCAAGTTTTGAAGGTATTTTTTTACTAAAATTTCTAGATTTATACGTGAATATGTAGGATAAGCTATAGGGTCAAATATTCATTAAGAACAGAGAAAATCTTGTTTATTACTTATTTGCATGTGTTCAGTAACTATGAAAAGCATATACAGAGTTGTATAAATATGATACTGCTCAGCAACAACACAGAGCAACTCTCTAAAAGAGAATGGTATCAATTCATGTTAACAACAACAACAACAACAACAACAACAACAGCAGCAGCAGCAGCAGCTCTATTCTTGTACCCTGCCTCCATTTCCCCAAAGGGACTCAGGGTACATATGATACAAAGTACCTAAAACAGAGTATAAAATAAACACACAGTACAATACAATAAAGTAAAACATATAGCATATAAAACAATTTAAAAGTCAGAACAACACCCGATAGCTTATGGTGACAGCTATCGTAAGACAAGTCCAGGCTATAAACAATACAAGAGAACTGGATAGTGCAAATTGTAGCTAAGAAACAAGGGCATGGGATGAAAGTGTGGACCAGTGGGGCTAGACGTTCTCAAAGGCTTGTGTAAACATGCAAGTCTTCAGATCCCTATAGAAGGAGGACAGTGTGGGGGGCTGTCTAATCTCCCTGGCAAGGATATTCCAAAGCCGGGGGGCCACCATCAAGAAGGCCCTCTCCCTCGTCCTCACCAACTACGCTTGTGACGGTGGCAGGACCGAGAGGAGAGCCTCCCAGGCAGAACTAAACAATCACGCACATCCCATAGAGTGGGATGTGGTTACAAAGATAGGCAGGGCCCGAAACGTTTGTTGGTACTTTCTGACAGCAATCTGAACAGACCATCACTCCTAAGGGAAGACTACATTTGGGTTAATTTCCTTTCGAATAGTATTAACCCCTATAGCTACAGTTTTTACTTCTTTGCAGGTACTGTTTTCAGAGTTCTTCCAGTTTAGACTGAAACAATCAGTGTGTAGCACACTACTATTGGCCAGATGAAAACGCAACCATTCTGAAAGGGGAAAAGAGGTGGACAAAGTAGACGGGTTTAATTATGGATATTCAATAAATTGTGGAATATGCGGGCCAGGAGTAGGGGACATGTGGCCTATCAGATGCGGTTGGAAATCTCCGCAACCTCATCAACACAGCTAGTTGTTTCAGTCCCACACCTGAACGGCCACACCTTCCCATTCCCAGCATATAAGTCAGTGATCAAGACCAAAAAACATGTCTTTCCAACAAGAGTAATATGGTAGGGGCCAACTGCAAATAGAATATTTAAGTCAGGTGCTACCTAGTGACTTAACCATAGAATGAAAATAACAATATAGGGTACTGAGTAAAAAGTCACTGTCTTTCCTAGATATTGCATAATGGCTTTTGGATTTTTCTGTGCATTGTCACTTGGAGGACAAGAGGATTGTTTTATTTTCTGGATTTTAGTAGGGCAAAAGTTTTTATAGGCAAATATGCACAGGAGAGAGAGAGAGAGAGAGAGAGAGAGAGGATTGAGCCAGATGTGTTTCAAACCTTTTGTCAGCTTGTCATGGTTTGCTATTCTCATTGGTATGAACATCATAAAATAAAGAATTCTGGTTTAAAAACATTTTTGTAATTAGTAAAACAAATCACTATGTTGGAAAGACATGAATTTGAAATCACTTGGATAGAATGAATAAAGCAGCTTCTCTTGGACAGAAGTTCTGGAAAAAAATATAAAGATCTCAGTTTACTCTCTCTTTTTCCTCGGTGGTGGCAGAAAAGCTTTAGACACTAGGAGGAGCATGAAAGATTTTGGATATCACTCTTTTGTTTAGCTGATGTTTAAGGCTGCAAAATTTAACGAATCAGTAATCAAATACAACCTTCTTTTGCTTTACTGAAAAGGTGCTTCATCTCCCTAGTCTGCAGTTATTTTTATAGATAATATTAAACTGTAAAGGGCAATGGCATCTTGGTATTTTCCCATATCTCAGAAAAAATGACTGTCTCTTATTGAATGTGACCATGGAACTACAAGTTCCTTTCAATTGGGTGGTGGTCCATACTGGTAGTTTGGTAGAAATTTGCATTGAATAGACCACATCAGCTCTGGTTTCTTATGACTTACTCCTTAACTCCATGCCACCAATGTTTCATTTAAAGGACCACTTGATTTCCCCCCCCCCCCCCGAGATTACTTCTTTAACTAACCTGAATGATTGTATCCCAAATGAAAATGTAGTCAGGCAGATGTGCATGCACAAAAGGACACCCATACATGTTAAGCACTGTATCATTCTATACAACTTATCACAAAGGAAATTGGTGCTACCTGACCTGATTTAACTATTTGACAAAACAGCATGTGAACTTTTTTTTAGTAACTACAACGTGGATGGTAGATAAACCGTAAGAACTATAGAAAATGTTATCTTTACACAGTTAATAGTGGGAAAAGGAACTATGAACTCCTTTTATCCCAATAAAAACACAGCATACTGATACATGTTTCTAAGCCCTCTGAACTCTAAACAAAAGGAACAAAAATATGATCCACGGCCTCACCATTACTACACCGTTGCCTCAAAATTATGCAGCAACGAGAGCAACTGATCTTGCGAAACCCTCTTATAGTGCCGAGGCAACAGGGATGTCGGGAGGGGAAGAGGATGACTACCTATGAAAGATTACTACTACCACATCAGCTCTTGATGATTAAATATGGTTTTCTGTGGACAAGCAAATGACAACTACTGGATGGCATATGTTCTCTATCAGAAACCAGAGCTGATGTGGTCTATCTAATGCAATTTTCTGAATCAGCACCCCAAATAACCAAACCAAATCTAAAGTTGACCAAAAAGTGATTCATAACACTTTTGGTACTAATGTTGGAGAAACTGCAGAAGTGTCAAGTGATACAGAAACAGTCAGCATTTGTAACGGAATTAGATATTTACACACTGGAAAGTCCAAGTTTAGGCACATATACATCTAGCCTGGCTGAAGTGATCTTTACTATCCTCCTCTAGTAGTGCCTCCAGCTCAGGCATGGGAAAACATTTTTGCCTTGGGACCACATTGTGGGCCTGGCTGGAAGGGCCGGGCTAGGAGGAAGGATGGCCAGGCACACGCTGGGCGGGGTGGGCCTGGGAGGGGAAGGACCCAGGAGAGGGTGGGATAAGAAGGGGGCAGAGCAAGGTCCAGGACATCCTCAGGTTGTCCTGGCATAAGGATGGGGCTGCTCACCCTGTCCTTATGCCGGGAGAAAGGCGAGACATGCGGCAGCTGCCCCAATCCTCCTCCCCCAATCCCCGGACTGTCCTCTTAGCATTATGCCAGGAGGAGGGCAAGACATGTTGAAGCTGAGAGGGCTCCAGAGGGCTCTCGGCTTTTGTGTGCCTTCCTCCCCCATCTTTTTGGCATAAGGATGCAGCAGACCGCTGTGTCCTTATGCCAAGAGGACAGGGAAAATGAGAAGAGCCTCAGGTCTTACTTTGCCCATGTCTGCTCCAGCTCCTTCAAAGCGATACACAGAGAATGAGATAAACTACATTGAACAAACAGGGCTGTGATATCAAGGTATTGATAGGAAATCACTGAGAAATCAAAGCAGGATACTTTTCTTGAGCAAGCAGCAAATAAGCAAATCAGAAAAGAGAAAAAGAGCATATCATATGCTTGTACTGTACCATATTATGGCAGCCTTCATAACATATGCTTGTAATGTACCATATTATAAAGCATTATATGAACAGATGCTCTAGATTTCTGCTCAATTTTTAAAATACAGGCATATATAAACAATTGCACACAAAACAGTTTAAATGTCCATATGTAGCAGTCTCTCTGAATATAATGCATGAAGATTAATACCAATTTTGCATTAGATTACTTTTTAAAAAGAAGCACACCGATGACCCAAGAACTTTTAAATAGAGCAGTTGTAAAGAGCACAAAGTACTGTAAAAGAAGTTAAACGCTTCTTCTGCACAACGGCATGCAGATATTACAGTCAGGAGCTAACTGAACCATGGCCAAGGAGAACAAGTGGTAAACATTTTCACCTTGACTGCAGAGAGAAGGGACATGAACCCAAGATTAAGTTGTCAATGGAGAGAGGTGTGTTGCAAAAACATGTGGTTTTCTCCTTGTTATTCTAATCTTCTAGGAGTGTGCACTACAATGGCATAACCCTTTATGCAGGTGTCTGTCCTCGCTTATTTAGGGACCAGGGCAGAGTCAAAAAATGAAAATAAGCGAAATGTGGAAGACAGACTGTAAGTATACAAGTACAGATGAGTAGATGGGTGTTTTGGATTTGGGGGGGGGGGGTGGAATACCTATATTTGCATATACATACATAATGAGATATTTTGGAGATGGGACCAAGTCTAAATGTGAAAATCATTCTATGTTATGTACGCCTTATACACACAGCCTGAAGGAATTTTATGCAATATTTTAAAATATTAAACATTAAACAAATGTAGTGTACAGTGAATTGTCAAAAAGCAAAGGTGTCACTATCTTAGCCACTAATGTGGACAATTTCAATTTTGGGAGTATTTGCATTTTCAGAATTCTAGATGAAGGAAGCTCAGCTTATATGAATACT